ATATCTGGAGAAACAATGAGTATTTGATGGGTAAAAATAGCATTGAGATTGTTCATTGGAAATAATACCCGAGAGGAAAAGTTTTTAATTTAGTTGAGGTTCGGTTGACTATAGATGGCACTTTCCAGCAACGTCATTTAATTGCGTTGCCACAAAAGGAAATTGGGTCGAAATTGTACAAATCGTAATTTTATGTTGCCATTTGGCATGCTTTATTGATGGATTATAAATATCGGGAAGTCTGCACTTTATAAACTTATCATATATATAATGTCGGCTTACTTAAAAAAAGATAGATTTCCTATTTTTTTATTAATAATTCAGCTTATATTCAACTAACGGCATGAATTTTCAGCTGGCGTTTTATCTCAATTAACACACCAATCAACCTAAAAATTTTGCAGATCTCTCTAGACAAAAAATTGCTTTTGATACTTGGAAGAGAGCATGATTTATACATATAACAATTCATCTATGATAAAACTTCCTCAATTGTCGACCATCACTATTGTTCGAATGTTATTTATAAAAAAAATGACGTTGGTTGTTAAATGAAGAAATATTTTTAATTAATATCATATTTTTTAACGAAAAAATATACAAAAGATCGAAAATTTACCATCTCGAAATTTTTGTGCATCACGTTTAGCTTTACATTTTCACCTTATTTAGCGTCATATGGCAAACATCTGATTGAGTGCATTTGACGAATACGAAATTCTAATTACTAATAAAAAGCGCCTGAATTTGTTCCAAGATATATATCCTATCAATAAATGGAATAGATTTATATGTTATGCGTAAATTTGAAATCTGCGTCAATTGAAATTCACGCACGTGAAATTCAAACTAGCCAATCAGAATTCTGCATCCAAACACCCCACCCCAAAATTTAATCGAATTGACACAAATTTGGTTTTTGGCTCACAACATATATGTACAATGATATAGGTTTGACTTGTTTTCGTCTTTTACCGTTGTCGTCAGAATCTCGATCTTTTTAATAATATGGGTTATATTTTTATATTATTTTATATCATTTATTTATTATTTATTTATTATTTATTATTTATTATTTATTTATTATTTTTTTATTATTT